AGTGTCATACAAAAAGAAAAGAAAATGAAATCTTAGTATTAAAAAAAAAAAAAAAAAAGCAAATAAAATTTATTTAAAATGTCTTTACTGTTATTTGATTGTTTATCCAAGTCATTATCTAATAATTTAGTTGTTAGTATAAAGGATCTAGACTTTTAACCATAAATTTAACAATAATAATAGTATTATAATTTACCCAAAATGTTGTCACTACTATCCAGTTGAACCGTATCAAGTAATTTACTTAAAACACTATCTTTACTATGCAATGGACAGGATAAAGGTGTGCGATTTTCACCATTTAAAGAACCTGAATTTCTGTCTAAGAATTATAGATAAGTTAGCAAAATAAAATCAAAAGTCGTCCAGTAAATATAATTAATAAATAAAATGAAAGAATCGTAAATCTACCTGTGTCATTCGATTCTTGATATGGAATCTCGAAGTAATGGTCTGAAAAAATGAACTATTAAAACAGATAAAAATAAAAACAATACACATAAATTACTGCATTAAAAATTTAGCACTCATGTTATTATCCAAATCGGAATCGTTTTGAATATCAATGGTATCTGAAATTTCTTTTTCATCGAAAATGTTTCTTTCAAACAGATCATTAACTAATGTGCAATTACTATAGAGCTTGTTACCGTAAACAAGTTCATAGGAAGTCTTTTTGTGTAAACGGCACCAGGAATTATTTATAGCCGTAATAACTAATCGTAAACCAAATAACCAATCATCACGGCCAGTTGCCTCTTTCCACTTTCCCAACTTCTGCTCAAGTATTCCATTGGTACGTTCTACGAGCCCCTGTAACTGGAGGTGCCTAGGACGCCCATTTATTATTTTTACTGAGGGCCACAATTTGATTAATTCTTTAATTATATCTATTATGTTTTTTTTTTTTAACGTATATTTTTATTTCAGATGGAAAAATGAAAAATTTGAACCCTTCACGAAAGCAATTAGGCAAGTTTACTTTATTTATTTATTTTTTTATTTTATATTTTTTTTTTGTTAAATTTATATGGAATTATACCAACAATCAGAAAAGAATCTGGTTCTTGTTGATATTACAAACAAGAATTCAAATACTACACATGAAATCTTGCGAACAGCAGCACGACGAGATCTCCAGCTTTATACAGAAAAGATGACAAACCAGATGCTTAAAAAAAGAAAAGTCATTGATTTCCATGTTGGCAATCTTGTTCGAATAAATATTCCGAAGTCGATCGGTTCAGCACCAATAGACCTACACTCCCTTGCAAGATTGTGGACATAGTTGGTAAAAAGTATCGATTGGGTTGCAAATACGGCATTATAAATATTTGCTATTCACAAGGGAAGCTAGAATGTCTTGGTACTACTACTTTTCCCGACCTTAATGAGATTCTATCACATAAATTATCTGTTCAAGAGGCTGCAAGGCTTCAAAGTGTAGAGTCAGAGTCAAGTACTATCTGTAACTGTAAGGGGTCATGCAACAGTAATAAGTGCAGATATAAAAAGGCAGGAGAAAATTGTATGAGCAGATGTCATGGTGGAAAATCGTGTTCAAACAAGAACTAACTTGGTATTATATGAAAGTAGAATTGGTTAATTCTTTAAATTTATATTAAAAAGAATCATGACAGGTATAAATTTATAAAATAGCACTATTATAATTACATAATTGCTGTAGTATAATTAAAATCTGTTGTTATCACTATCATTATGTTTAAAGTACCAATATAATATTGGCCGATAAATTTTTTTTAGGGGAAATTACAAATAAGAGCCCAAATTTGAAAATAATTACAAATAAGGGTCCAAAATAAAAATAATTACAGATAGAGGCCTGATATTTGAAAATTATTACAAATAAGGGCCCAAAATAATTTTACACTTAAAAACCTGTGATTGATGACTCGAATATGACATTAATATAGTCATCAATCATTAAGCGCATAAGAAATATAATAATGCTAATTAATTAGTAATTCAAATATAAATTCAAACGCACAATAAAAATGTACTTCTGGTTTGTTCGATTCGTTAACTCATTATCTACACTGTATTCTAAATTGTTTTTTATCCTCAAAGTTCTTGATATATTTTTTAAAAATCTGCTTATAATATACACCATGTCAGATACATTAAAGATCAGTATGACTTTTACTAATATGGAAATGTTTGCTCGGCCCTGGATAGCTACTCTGTTGAATTCACTTCGCCATATAAGTTTAGAACTAACAAACCAAATAAGCTGCTTGTTGTTTGTCCCAGTAAAAAAAATAGGTCATGCCTGTTTACTATTTTGGCTAACAAGCAAAAAGATGGTTACATCCATATCGTATAGCTAATTCCTCATGATTCAACTTGTCCAACATCTGTAGAAGCATTCAAAGCACGTGAATCATACCTTGTAAAGTTTACTGTGCTATTGGTCAAAGATATACAAGTTCTTCGACCCTGTGATATTATGAATCATGTTCGTTCTGAATTGAGAGCCGAGACGTCATATATGGCTGCTTGGAGAAATAAAGCCATTACTAAAAAACGTGGTGTGGAAGAAATAAATCAGAGCTATCAATATATTAAGTTATTACTATGCAATTTGCTTATAGAAAACCCTGGAAGCATTACAGTGTTCGAAGTTGATGTTGAAGACCAATTCACTTGTGCATTTATGTGTTTATAACCAGAAAACCAGGATACCTGTGGAAAATGTAATAAAAGGTCATAATTCATGTATATGTGTTCGAAGACACAGAAATATTAAATAAGAAAATTTGCGCATAGTAATTATGTAATTGGGCTTGCGTACCCTATGAAAAAATATATATAAAAATAATAAAGAAAATTACAAATAATATACGGAATATAATAGATATATACTGAATAATACGTTTATATAATTAATTAATATTGAATTATTATACTGAATAGATACGGAATCATTTTTGATACAGAATAAATGCCGAATTGTTATACTGAATAGATACAGAATTATTTTTGATACAGAATGAATGCTGAATTGTTATACTGGATAGATACAAAATCATTTTTGATACAGAATAAATGCCGAATTGTTATACTGGATAGATACAGAATCATTTTTGATACAGAATGAATGCTGAATTGTTATACTAGATAGATACAGAATTATTTTTGATACAGAATGAATGCTGAATTGTTATACTGGATAGATACAGAATCATTTTGATACAAAATGAATGCTGAATTGTTATACTGGATAGATACAGAATCATTTTGATACAGAATGAATGCTAAATTGTTATACTGGATAGATACGGAATCATTTTGATACAGAATAAATGCTGAATTATTATACTAGATAGATATGAAATCAATAATACAGAATAAATGTTAAATTATTATATTTAATAGATGCGAAATCATTTTTAAATAATATATCCCAACTTTACAAACTTAATATAGATGTCAATCTCTCCAAATCAGATCTACTTCATATTTTAATACCTCAACAACAACTCTCATTTTTGATAATCAAATAATTTTACTAAAGATATCTAATAATATTATAAGATATTTAGATATATATCTAGATGGCAATGGCTCTACCAAACTATCTCATGATATAATCCTTAACAAAATTGAAAACTTTATCTGTATAATTAGATACAAAAGCTTACACCTTTACAAATCTCCTCACTTTTTAATTTAATCCTTCAGTCCTCTATTAAATACCTCTTACAAGTAACTATTATACACCAAAACTTTCAAACTAAACTATCTCATTTTTTTACTATTCAAACCAAAAAGATGCTATCTCTTGCTAAGAACACTAATAATATTGTACTTACAAATTCTATTACTTTTAATTTACCAAGTCTTAATAATCTAGTTCAGAAGGCTAGTGTTGAGCATATTTTCAATTCAAGTTCAATTTTTAAAAATATTGGACTTGTACAAATTAAATTCTGCCTAACAAAAGTTTGGTCTCTCAAGCTTTCTTCAGATCTACTTACTTTTTATAAATATAAAGTAACAAACTTTACACTTATCTTTCAACTCTCACAATTAGCTATAAATAATATTATACTTTTTAACCTTCCACTTAATGATAGTTATCCTGAATTTCTTTCTAATACTCATTTAATATATGATATTCTTTTATCAAACCCACATATATCTACAATAAATAGCCTAAGAAACAACTGTCTACTCTTTCTTAAACAAATTAATACTGCAGATAACAAATATCTTCTACCATAGAATAATATTTATTTACATACATATAAACCTACAAGGGGCTGCCAACCTTTGTGATTCACTAATATCCATCAGTTATCACAAAACAATACAATCTCAAACATATGGCCTCATCTCACTTTACCCTTAACTAATTTTTTCATCAACACAACTACCTTGTATCTCTATTCTTCTCTTTTAATTCCTTTTTTCTAAATCAAATATACTATTCTTCAAATAATCTCTTCTTATCTCACCAAGTATCTTTATCTGCAAACTCAGTATTCAAAATTAATTCTGACAATGCAAGAATTTTATACTTTATATCTATTCTCTCTTTATCTAATAATACTATATTCTTCTATCTTTCCTATAATTATATTATCAAACTTAACAATCCACTATATATCCAAATTGATTATAATAAAATCCTTGCATTAATATATTTACATAACTCTATTCAAGCTACAACACAACCACAATTACTACCTCAAATCTATATCCTCTCACAAAAAACTTAACTTATTCATAATATAATAAATTTAACTACTTACCAATATCAATTAACAAACCTTTGATTATCAATCCAAAATTTAAACTCTCAAGACCTACATTTCTTTACTGATGCCTCAATTCAAAATCTGCATTCAGCAAATATCAAATCTGGTATTGGTTGGATCTGTGAAAATAATACAGCTATTAAATTTAATGCAGCTACTATTCCTTATCCAGACTCAACCTGAATAGAACTTGAAGCAATTATCTCATTACTTCTGGCTATTTCTTTTAATTTTATATAAATATCTATCTAGATAATAATACAGCTATCCAAAATCTAAAACAAACACATTTTACTAAACTACTATAAAACAAAAATTAGAACATTATCTATATTATTAATCAAATTAAACTTACTAAAAATATTACCTTTACTCTCTACAAAACCAAATCACTTCCA